TAAGGATCATTTATCTTCCCCACATAACTTGTGGATTATCCTAGCTATCCTGTCATTGCATTATTACAGAAACAATCATTAGGTGATGTAGTGTGTAGTTGAACACACAACTTGTGGATTATCCTAGCTATCCTGTCATTGCATTAGACAAGGTTATAACTTGTGGATTATCCTAGCTATCCTGACATTGCTTTAGACAAGGTTATAACTTGTGGATTATCCTAGCTATCCCTACATTGCATTAGACAAGGTTATAACTTGTGGGTTATCCTAGCTATCCTGACATTGCATTAGACAAGGTTATAACTTGTGGATTATCTTAGCTATCCTGACATTGCATTAGACAAGGTTACAATTTGTGGATTATCCTAGCTATCCTTTCATTGCATTAAACAAGGTTATAACTTGTGGATTATCCTAGCTATCCTGACATTGCATTAGACAAGGTTATAACTTATGGGTTATCCTCGCTATCCTGTCATTGCATTAGACAAGGTTATAACTTATGGATTATCCTATCTATCCTGTCATTGTATTAATCTAAGATATAAGTTGAGGATTATCCTAGTTTGATATCCTGACATTTTTTAGGATTTAATAACAACCAGTCCTAAATATATATATATATATACATATTAAACTAACAATCTCTCTCATGAAGTATAAAATATATATATATAAAGGTGATATAATGATATATATATATATTAAACATTTTATCCAATACTGATAGTGAAAATAACAATAAATAACAGAGAATATTTTACATAAAATATACCGAGCTTCTTTAAACTAGTTCGAGTTATTCTATAAGTACAAAAAAAACTTGATTTCAAGAAAGATCAATTCATACAAATCAACTTCACATCGCCTGTCTGAATGAGAAACTGTCGGTGTTTTGTCACGTGTTTAGTCTAGTAATGATAATAACCTAACTTGGTGTATTTGTGTGCCCAGAATTAGCTTGTAAAAATAGCACTGTTGTACACAAACAGAGTTATCTTTACGTAAAGCTGTTTGATAAACTTGAACGAGAGTGGATAAGACAGTTTCTGTAACTAGGTTTATGTTCTTAGTAACCGTAACAAGATTGTAAGATCAAGACTGGAGTTTCTACTAATATACAAACACATAAATGGTATACGCTAGACTGAGTATAACATAAGTTTCATAAATAACCTCCTTAGATAATCGACCTTTCCTACGCAAATAAAAGATCGCAGTGATCTTATTGGTCGGATCCACTTACATGGATAGCTTGTGTTCTCCCATCAAATCGCATAAAACACGCAGAGTTTGCTGTCTGGAGAGGTATCTTTAACCTGATGGACTTTGATTCCACATTTAAGACTTATACTTTACTAAATACTTACAGTCAAACACAAGATTTCCAATAGAACAAATCCAAGATGAACTGAATGCACGAGCTTTTCGGTAAACGATGCCCAGCGGAATAATTAAGCGACCATTCAACGCTGATTTTATAGGCTAATTGGCATTCGTCTTAACGACCAGTCTGTTTCTATCCCCCAGACACGTGGCTCACGGTTCTAAACAATAACTCTACAACATTTTTTTTCCATTCATTAAGGAACATATTTTAACAGTTGTTACTCCATACTAAATCTGGTGGAATTATAAAAGTAAACCAGTGCATTCTCGCAGGTAGTCCGCACTCGCCATGTTGCACTAATCTATCTCTGTCAACTAGCATTGTGACGTAAGCACGTGTGTCAACGTTAGACGGCGTCATTGGCTGCTACAGGTCATGTGATATGTTAATTTCTGGAGGAAGGAGGAGTCAAAGCACAGTTAAACGACAACTCCGAAGAAAAATTATTTCCATCCAATTCCCCCAAAAATTAATGATCATGAGTTCGTTTTTGATGAACTCTCCTCCGTACGCGGAGCCGAAATTTCCACCAAGTGAAGAATATTTACAAACAAGCTACATGGAAAGTAACTACTACAACCATCCGTATTGTTTTAACGGCCAGCACACGTCTGTGAATTATGGCCTCGACAACAGCGGTGGCTACACAAATCATCGAAACTCTCCTCATTACTACCGGCCTCCCTGTTCTCTCGCGCAGAACGTTCACGGGCCAACGAGTGGGAGTTCCATAGTTAACCCGACTCCGGCTACCGACAGCCCGAACCGTGCCTTGCAAGGGCAGCCGCAACACCCTTATAGATCGCCGGCGTCTCCGCCAGTAGCGGCCCGTACCTCGTCACCTAATCAGCAGCAAGGGTTTACCGAAAAAAGTCCCGACTGTAACGCGTCGACGACGGGACAGCCGGTTATCTACCCCTGGATGAAAAAAGCCCACCTCGGCACAGGTAGGAACTTTATCAACAGGATTTTTGTTTTTATCTCGGGAAGTCACGTGCGACGAGAACCTACCGTGCAGTTTAATGAATTACTCGGTTGCTACCAACATAGTAAAACATTAGCGAAGACGCCACCCTCTTATCTATACCTTTAAAACCGTGTGGTTCCGGGTAACCATAGCAGGGGACACATTCATTTAACCGTGGTGCTCTAAAGATCAAGGAGACGCTAACGTTATGTTCCCAGGGGGACCTCGTGTACATAGCTAACTTTCCAATTAGTTTTAAGAGTTGAATTTCTGGTTATTGGTACAATAGACACGAATGAATTGAAGGTTTCACAACGCTCGGTCGCCCACCGTGTGTGTTGTTCGTGCTCTTGTCGTTAAGTTTTCTGTAATCTTTTCTTTCAGGAACAGACAATGGTAATTTCTCTCCCGGCCTGGAGACCAAGAGGCAACGGACAGCTTACACGAGACATCAGATCTTGGAGCTGGAGAAGGAGTTTCATTTCAACCGGTACCTTACAAGGCGGAGACGGATAGAGATAGCTCACTTGCTATGTTTGTCAGAGAGGCAGATAAAAATCTGGTTCCAAAACCGGCGGATGAAATGGAAGAAAGACAACAAACTTCCTAACACGAAAAATGTGAAGAAAAGAAACCAACACGTAGAATCCCTGAACAACCTGACACCCCTTTCGAACCACATACAACAACAACTAGGACGACTTCTTCCTCAGACAACACAACTAGACTCAAAATCTGACTACGGCTTAACAGAACTCTGATGTAACGTGAAATACGAAGAGGACCGCGTTGTGTACGGGATACGTGGGTTAATAACAGTCTTTCATGTAACAGGTCACTCTGTACTCGGCCAAATGTTCTGTGAACTTGTTTTATAGATGAAAAATTTGACCAACGTCGTAGTTTAATTTAATTTGACATCCTGAATGAGTTGTGACATCATTTGTGTGTCTTTATTTTTTGTAAATATATTTAACCAGGTCACTGTTGGGGTCATGCATTCAACAACTAAGGTTGACAAGTGAGCATTTTCTGCTTTATATATATATTTGAGGCTCTCACGTTGACTTGTATTACTCAGGGTATTTAGCTTTACACTTGTAGATTTAATTACTGACCGAGGAAAGAAGCTAGAGTATTCTTCATACTCCCATAAAATAAGAGAAACAGTGGTATTCTTTGTACTCCCATAAGATGTGAGAAACAGTGGTATTCTTCATACTCCCATAAGATAAGAGAAACAGTGGTATTCTTTGTACTCCCATAAGATAAGAGAAACAGCAGTATTCTTCATACTTCCATAAGATAAGAGAAACAGTGGTATTCTTTGTACTCCCATAAGATGTGAGAAACAGCAGTATTCTTCATACTCCCATAAGATAAGAGAAACAGCAGTATTCTTCATACTCCCATAAGATAAGAGAAACAGCAGTATTCTTTGTACTCCCATAAGATAAGAGAAACAGCAGTATTCTTCATACTTCCATAAGATAAGAGAAACAGCAGTATTCTTCATACTCCCATAAGATAAGAGAAACAGCAGTATTCTTCATACTCCCATAAGATAAGAGAAACAGCAGTGTTCTTCATACTCCCATAAGATAAGAGAAACGGCAGTATTGTTCATACTCCCATAAGATAAGAGAAACAGCAGTATTCTTTGTACTCCCATAAGATATGAGAAACAGCAGTATTCTTCATACTCCCATAAGATAAGAGAAACAGCAGTATTCTTCATACTCCCATAAGATAAGAGAAACGGCAGTATTCTTCATACTCCCATAAGATAAGAGAAACGGCAGTATTCTTCATACTCCCGTATTTATATATTTTTTTTCTTGTCAACTGTTACTACGAGAACCATTTAGCTCTGTAATAATGAGATCTTAATTTCGTGTCCGCTAAAGGTAAAATATGTAAAAATGATCAAGATTATATGTTAAATATTATGTTTATTATAGTGTATGTATAGTATTTCCTTAATTTATATTCATTGCAGGTCATTACTTTGATGAGTTAGCGTTGGAAAAGCAGTCCAGGTTCTTGTTCTAGACTTGTTTATTGCAGCTGACAGCGCCCCTTGTGGTTGGAATTGAAAAATAAGATTTGGTTGTTTCCGTCATGGAACTGGTTGGTTGGAAGTAGATGTTGTGTTGGTTGTAATCTTCTAGAAAGGATCAAACAAATATGCAAGAAAACATAATTAAAGGGCCATGTTTTGGCCATGTTGAAACGATACATTCCACGAACTAGTACAGGCGACAGCAAAAAAATATGCTCTATTTTTATAGTCACGAGTCGGAGCTTTACAACACACTTTAAATTAAAAAATAATATCATTTATTTTTAAGCCTAATTTTCTAGTAACGTAATTAAAATATACGCTAGAACTAACTTGTTTAACTATCACAATGAAAGAAAATTGGTGTAAACCTTAAGTTATTTACAAGCGAATTTTCCATAAAATTTACAAAATTGAACTTAAGCAACAAAGACCAACTTTTGAAACCAAAATTTAACATAAAGTCAACCTTTCTAATGAAGTTATATTCTCAAGCGAATCTAATAATAGGTTTCTTAATTATCAAATGAAGTGTTTGATAAAAAATCAAAGTTTTCCACAAGTTACGTTCTTTTGTACAGATCCGGGTTCAGTCTTGAGTAGGTACGAGACATACATGCCACCAGTGTAAGCTGTATTGTTATTGGTCAACCAGGTCACGTAGTCACTTTCCTCCGCACTTTTAGTTAACTCCTGATTTGTTTTTTAACAATTGTTGTGACCTTCTATTTAAAGATCTCTGGCTGTATTGTTGTATAAGACAAATAAACACGCTTTGATTTGCTGTTGTCTTGTTTAAAATTTAATTGTTTCAATAAGTATGCATGTATATATAATAATTAGTCTGTGCGTATGGATATTTATAGACAAGGACGTTTCACATCATTTACTCCTACTGATTGTGTAGTTCGATAAAAGCAACTTAACAGTATTACTCCGCTGTGAATTTGCTCTTAAAAATAAACTGACAACTGCCTCGCGTAGCTTTATAACGCTAAAACTTCAAACAATTTTGACAAAACAGTATTTCATTGGTTCTTGCTATGCTCTAGAACTATGCTATATTTTTTATTTCAACGTGGACATATCGTAGGGACGAACAGACGAAAGACCTACGTTTTGAATGTCAGTCAACACTAGAAAAAGCTCGGCTGCAGACGCCACAAGCACGTCCTAGACAAATCCGAGCGTTCCAGTAAAAGTTTGGTATCTCGTACATCAATGTCACTTGTCTGTGTTGTCATTCTGAGAAGGATTCGTCTATGTAAATTCTACACCAGCTCGTGCTTGGGAAAATTCTTGTCAGTGGATTTAGAGCTTCATTAGTCCTAAATGTTCCGACGATATCCTAGCCTAGGACTCAAAACCCTATACAAAATGTTTGATGATATAGGTGTTATTAAATATATACCAATAACAATTGACTGTCAGCACACGAAAAGGTGTGGTTCTAGAGGATTACGTGACTTACAGAAACTTTCACTAGTACAAGTTGAACCGAAGAGATTCTAAACACTTTTCTAATTCGCCAAAAAAACAAAACTTCAAATCACAACAACACAAACACAACAACAAGAAACTGAGAGAAAAAGTGATCTTTAAGAATTATGAGAAAGTTTCCAGGATGAAGAACATGACGAGGTTCAGTAAGATTAACTTAAATAGTGAAGAAATGATGAGGAAAATATTATTTTTTTTCATCAAAACAACAAACGAAACTTGTATTACTAATTGTTTTCACTTGAAGGAAAACACCTGCTTATAAACTCGCCATCTGCTTTGAAGAAAATGCTGTACAGTTGACTCTTCTTCAGGCAATTTACCGTGAACAACACTTATGTAGTGTTAGCTTTCACCCGGTACTGTCTACATGTTTGTTAGTTGATGTACACTGAAGTATTTCTATTTACTGGACTCTTCACGTGACTTGTCTTTCATCTACCGACTCTTCGGTTGAATAGGTCTGGTTTTACTAGTAGACGTTTCATTATTTTATCAATCAGTCAGAAAATAAATAAAACTTTTAATTCGGTTCTCGTCACATCAAAACACATCCTCTTCACAGTTTATCATAACATGTTTACAAGCTACCATAGCAACATCATGTTCCTAGATACCATAGCAACATCATGCCTACAGCTAATCATAATTTGCTCCAGGTTGCCATAACAACGCCATGTTCACAGATAATCGTAGCATGTTCCTAGTTATCATAGAAATATGTTCTCATATATTCATATCTTCTTATTTACCATAGTAACATCATGTTTTTACCTAATAATAACATGTTCCTAGGTACCATAGTAACATCATGTTTACAGCATTTCCTTTTTAGGTAATAAGTAGGAATTTTAAAGATTTTATTATGGTTAACTACTAAAAACTTTCAAATGAAAAACATTTTTACACCATTAGCACCAGCCAATTGAAATAAAAAAATAACATCAGACTGCTTGATTACAGAAAGGGGGTGATGGGTTTTCGTGAAAGTACTGATTTGCTAATGAAACGAATCGAGTTAAAAGTGAGGAAAAGAATCGCCCATAATAAGTACACAACTATCTCAATAAGTACACAACTATCTCAATAAGTACACAACTATCTCAGTAAGTACACAACTATCTCAGTAAGTACACAACTATCTCGGTAAGTACACAACTATATCAGTAAGTACACAACTATCTCGGTAAGTACACAGCTATCTCGGTAAGTACACAACTATCTCAGTAAGTACACAACTATCTCAGTAAGTACACAACTATATCAGTAAGTACACAACTATCTCGGTAAGTACACAACTATCTCAGTAAGTACACAACTATCTCAATAAGTACACAACTATCTCAGTAAGTACACAACTATCTCAATAAGTATACAACTATCTCAGTAAGTACACAACTATCTCAAGAACTACAGTAAAAAATATCTTCACGCGTATTTTACTACTGGCTGAGTTTGTGTGAAAGTGTAAAAAAAAGTTTTATAAAGGGTTAAACACCATGTTGAAACTGCGCTAAGCCTTAACTGAGCGGTAAAAGGCTGTTTGATTTTAAAATCGCACGAGAGTTTCTTTAGTAGCTGCTCATAACAGGAATCTCAAAGGAGCATAGTAATTAAATGTTGACTAAATATAATACTAAAATGGACGATTTGATTTTTTTCACTGATTCCCTGAATAACTCTTGAGCTAATATATACCTAGTATAGTTAAGCCTTTTGATTTGTGTAATAATATGGTTAAAGCTAACTTCTGAATATAGCAAACAATTTACTTAAAGCGAAATTAAAAATCAACCTGGTAATGAATGCATTGTTTCATTAGTTGAGTATTCTCGCTGATAACGGTACTTTCGATCATAATCCCAATAATAACTCACGAGGTTCGGTTAGCATAAAAACTTAAGTTAGGCCTAAGTACACGTACTAAGATAAAAAGGGAAAAAATCTCTATAATGAAAGTGTAGTAATAAAAAATACCTAAAAAGTAATCAAATGAGATTCATTAAATATTCTAACTAATACCGTTAATGAAAGTTACAAATAAAGAAATAACAGAGTACACCTCACATACAAACACTAGGGTTAGCTTCAAGTACTGTAGTAGATTTAATATTTGTTTTAACATCAGTATAAGTAAAACTTTACACAGTCCTTCCTAAAAATGTCTTGTGACCAATTAAACATTTCCGACAGTGTAACTTTATAGGAGAGTGGAATCTGAGATAAATTACTACACGTTACTGTTTACATATAGTGTCAAGTAACAAGACGTTACCAAGAGTACAGCCAAAAAACTAATGTTTAGAAAGACACAGAATAATAAATTACATTAATATCTGAATTGTATTGGATTTGTAATGAAAATATAACAATGTTAAATGTAATACAAAGAAAGCAACATTTTAAACCTACTCTGACACAGCTACTCCCTCTGTCACTTAACAAAACACATGGAAACAGGAAAAAATAAATAAATAAAGTTAAATCTTCTGTAAAAATCGAATCGAGAAACTTCAGTAATAATAATAAAACTAAGAAATTAAAATTACAAAAATCTTAACTAATGACGCGATGTTATACTGTATGCTGAACTGTTATAGGCTTGACTAATGACATGATGTCATACTGTATACGGAGCTGTTATAGGCTTAACTAATGACATGATGTCATACTGTATACGGAGCTGTTATAGGCTTAACTAATGACGTAGATTCATACTCTATACGGAGCTGTTACAGGCTTAACTAATGACGCGATGTTATAATGTATGCTGAACTGTTATAGGCTTAACTAATGACGTAGTTTCATACTGTATACGGAGCTTTTATAGGCTTAACTAATGACATGATTTCATACTGTATACGGAGCTGTTATAGGCTTAACTAATGACATGATTTCATACTGTATACGGAGCTGTTATAGGCTTAACTAATGACATGATTTCACACTGTATACGGAGCTGTTATAGGCTTAACTAATGACGCGATGTTATAATGTATGCTGAACTTTTATAGGCTTAACTAATGACGTAGTTTCATACTGTATACGGAGCTTTTACAGGCTTAACTAATGACATGATTTCATACTGTATACGGAGCTGTTATAGGCTTAACTAATGACGTAGATTCATACTGTATACGGAGCTGTTATAGGCTTAACTAATGACATGATTTCATACTGTATACGGAGCTGTTATAGGCTTAACTAATGACATAGTTTCATACTGTATACGGAGCTGTTATAGGCTTAACTAATGACATGATTTCATACTGTATACGGAGCTGTTATAGGCTTAAATAATGACATGATGGTGAGTAAAACAAACTGGCTAATTAATGAAGGAGCATTTGCTGTAAAATTTTTATCCATGCTATAAGTGTAGCTACCAGTTTGGCCGTCAATTTTGATTTCATTTTTTTTATTAGGTATCATGACTTTTTGTCAATAAACATCAACAAACCACAGCAAGT